CCACACTTAAAACATCTAACTGCTCCCTGTTGCCCAGACTGTCCGGCCACAACCATAGCTTGTGATCCACTTGAATTCAATGATTGTGCTGGACGAGCGTACGGCGTCCTATTTCGATTCAGATTAGTCCTTGACAAATTCAGTCCCCTTGCTGCTTGTTGCTTCTTCTGTTGCTCCACTTCAGCCACATTCTTCTCCAACACTTTGGCTCTCTCAACCATTGAGGGAAAAGACTTAATACAAAGGCTGGATATCAGCACTTTCAGATCACTCCTTAACCCATTCTCGAATTTCCGACACTGCCACTCTTCACTAGTGGCCATAGTATTGAACCTCAATAAATGATTGAACATGTTGGTATACTCCGATACAGACTTCCCACCTTGTACCAACTGAAGGAACTCCACTTCCTTGGCGTAACGAACGCTGTCTGGAAAATATTCTTCATAGAATTTACTTCTGAAAACTTCCCAAGAGATGGGACTGTGAGTGTCCATCAAAATAGCCTTCATGCTCGTCCACCAGTGGCTGGCCTCACCAATCAGTAAATACTCAGTGAATGCCAAGCGATTTTCGTCCAGGCACCTCTTGGCATCATAAATTCTCTCAATGTCCCTCAACCACTGGTCAGCCTCGTCTGGTAACCCTTTCCCATTGAACTTGGCTGGGTGGTGTTGAAGAAAACTCTCCAAGCTCCACTCGGTCGGATGAGTCGCATTGGATGTTGATGCTCCGGCCGTGTTCCTTGTTGTGGCAATAATCTCCATCAACTAACGTTGCGTTGCTTTTGAGTTGGCGCGTGCGACCTCCAAACTCTGTAAGGCACCCACGTTCTGCTGCATCAAGACAGCGTTCTACTGCTGTATCCTTTCGATCACTGATTCCAACAACCTGGTGTTGTTGGACACATCACGTTCGGTAGGTTGAGGTGGAGGAGGAGGTCTGGATGCCATTTGTTCTCTGGAAAAATAGAGAAAAACGATCGTTAGTTAAGTTCAAAGAGTTTAGAATAACTCAT